AGAGAGAGAGAGAGAGAGAGAGAGAGAGAGAGAGAGAGAGAGAGAGAGAGAGAGAGAATCAGTGACAGATGGGAAGCATCTCCAGTGTTAGACTTGACTCTTCCCTGAGCAGTACTGGATGGGGTTCAGTATAGGCTTTGGGGTTTTAAAAAGTTGTATTCAGCTGAGCAGTGGTGAATCATGACATTAATCTCAGCACTCAGGAGGCAAAGGCAGGAGGGTCTCTGAGTTCGAGACCAGCCTAGTCTACAGAGTGAGTTCTAGGGCAGCCAGAGCTACACAGAGAAATGCTGTCTCTAAAAGCAAAGCAAAACAAAATAATTAATAACAACACAAAGTAGTTTCATTCAGTATTGGGAGCATTGAACATTACCTTGACTTTAAATCTTGTTTCCCACAGTGGCTCAGTCTGAATATTCGTGGAAGAAGATACTGAGTGGAGGCGCAGCGTTCCTGATTGGGCTAATCGTCTTCCTGGTGGGGGTTGTTATCCACGTCAAGGCTCGCAAAGGTAGCACACCCGTGAGAACCTTTCTGCGTGCCCTGTACTTCCGTTACTGTACAGATCCGAGTGAGGGAAGGCTGGTTGTGCTCGGGCATCACTGTGATAGTGTTTTCTAAGGCCAGGGGAGCCTCGTGTATGTGTGTGGGGGAAGCAGAGAGGAGTGTAGGCATTGCACCCCCAAGGGGTAGGCAGAGACAGTGGCATAGCAGGCCACTGTTCAGGAAAATCCCATTTGATCCTGACTGGGGATCCCATTCTCTTTCCAGCATCTATGGAGACCCGGTCAGGCGATGAGGTAAGCGCTCCAGTTCCTTGTCTTTGGCTGACAGATCATTTCCTGGTTCTCGTGCCAGAGTGAGACATCATGGGATGAAGGAGGCCTCTGGCTGGGTGGTTGTCTCAGTCTCTGGGATGGGAGGGTGGGAAGCCCCTGAGACCCTCCCATTGTTTCTGCAGGTCTCAAGAGCTTCTCCACCTCATCTCCAGTAAGATCCTAACGGACACTTCTCCCCCAGAGCGTGAAGGAGTGTCAAAATCCAGGACCCTGGGGCCGGTAAAGAACCCTGGCTCTAGAGTCATGAGATGCGGCTTGTATCTTCCTCTTTGGTCCTTCTCCCCCCTGCCTGTACTCAGTAGTCCCCATTTCCAGGACACTGTCCAGAGATTCCCTTAGGACCTAATTCATTCTGGCTCTGAGTTGTTTTAGTCTCTGTGGTCAGACTCTAACCCTGTGAGTGGGGACCCCAGTCTTTCTGTCTTCCAGCCATGGCTTCCAGTCTTCCAGGTGGTCACTTTAAAATCCCTTGCTTTGTAAAACAAAACAGGCATAGATAACTGTAGTAAATGTATAATTCAGTGACTTATTTAAGACAAAGCCCTTGTAATTACCAACTCAGCAGGACACAGACCTTGGCAGTCTCTGAACAACTCATCATCTGCCTTGGCCAATAAACACCTGCAGGCACACACTATACTGTGGGGTTATTTAACAGCCTCTTCAGCCAGGTGTACATCTGAGTACCACACTCCTTTGCTTTCTTGTGTCTTAGACCTCCAGATGTTTTATTTTATCCCTTCTATCTGTTAGGATTAAATTTGTTGAGAAGCCTGAGTCACCCATGGTGAAGAGTTTCCCACACTTGGAGTTTGTTCCCTGCACACTCATGGCCCACCAAACACACGGTTTTGCCCTTTATGTTTTCTGATGCAGAGGCAGGGGTCGGACTCTGGTTTGGTCCTTTTGGCATCTACAGGAGTCACATTTTATCCTGTTTCTCTTTTCAAGGTGTTACCATAACCATTGATGCTAATCGCCCAGGTCTGTTAACTTATCCCTGATTGATAAATTGTGACGTTCAATTCTAGGATTCTTTCTTCATCTATTTATTGTGTATCGTTGTTTATATTCCTGGTTATTTGCACTAGAAGTTCCAACCTATGATGGTAAACTGTGTGTGTCTTGCAGTGATTCCAGCCTGCACCGGAGCCGCCATTGTGTTCACTGCTGTGTGCTTCTAAACCAAAGAACTAGTTTCACTCAGTAGTGATCTTAGTGGAGTAATGAAGTCCACTGGTTTGGCGAATTCCTGACACCTGTTAATTGTTTTTCAATTTGACAAAATTGGGAGTGTTCCTGTTCTATGCAGGTGGGAAGGCTGGAGTTGTGAGTGGAACAGCTCGCTCCCTTCAATAGACCATCATTTTGTGTCAACAGAAACATTCTCCATTAATTATTGTGAATTTCACACATGCCTATTATTTGCTTCCCTCAAATCCACCCCATCCCCTCGCTTCCAGTTTCTCCTCCCCAGCACATTTGCCTCTCATTGCTTTTATTGATTTTATTGACCGAGTCAGCTTAGCTCAGCCTGCATGCACATGGGAGCAGGTCCATTTGCCGAGTGTGGGTGGCCTGTCAGGGGCTGCACCCTTGAAGAACATGGACTCTCCCTCCCCAGCAGCCATCAACTACCTGCAGCAGCTCCTCAGCTAAGGGTGGGACTTGTGAGTCCCTCCCATCCATTCGGGAATTTAGATGGCTTGATCTGGGACATGTAGACACTTTCTTAATGACTTTAACTTGCTTTAAAATCAATTATAGTTTAGTTGGTGGGAAATTTTTCTGGCGCCTTTTCAAGCACCAGACGGAATATTATTCTGTCTTAAATGGTCTCAACATTTGTTACACATTGCAATAAAGAGCATGAACTGTTTGAAGTACATAAAGCCTGAGCCATATTCAATTTCTTATGTTTAATATAAAACTGTTTTCCTTTCCTTTTCTGAGGACAGTGTGCAGCCTCCTGTGCTCTGCTGCAGAGCCCGGAAGACGCCGGCTCCGCACAGGAGAAGCCGGGCTGTTCCCACCTTCACTTCCCTTCTTCTTTCTACTCCTTCCTGGTTCAGCTTTGGTTTTGTTTCTCACAAATTTTCTTCTTTGGGTATTCCTGCCTGATGACTTTTCCTTTAAAAGTTTTATAATTTTATGTTGTCTGCCTTAGTCTATATTTATTCTAAGGTAGTTTTAAAATATGAAATGTAAAGCTGTTTGCCTGTAGGGTTTTTTGACAAAATCTCTGCTATCCCAGGCTGGCCTCAGCATTACTCACTGTGTAGCTGAAGCTGGTCCTGAACTCCCGACCCCCTGTTTCCACCTCCCACGTGGTAGGTTTATAGGCATTGCCACCAGGCATGGACTTTCTTTTACCTACAGGTGTTTAATTCCTTCAGTACTGTGTGTTGAAAACTCTGCCTTCTCTGTAACTTTTCACATTTTCATCAAAAATTATTTAGGGGCCGCAAGATGGCTGAGTGGGTAAAGATGCTTGAGCCAAGCCTGGCAACTGAGTTTGATTCTCAGAGAACCAAAGAGTAGCAGGAGAACTAATCCCTACAGTGGTCTCTGACCTCTGATACAGCATGGTGGTATATGTGCACTACACACATGCCACGTCCACAGCAGTGACTGCCGTGTAGTGACAAAATGCCTCTGCGCTGGCTTTTGCCTGCTGAAGGATTGGGGTTAGAGCTTCCTGGAGCGAAGCCCCAGGTGGTCCCCCTGGCAATCAGTGGTCGAGAGAGGACCTGATGCCATAGACAAATCTCATATCTGGAGATGGCCCTGAGAGCGAGCCCTCCTGACACCTTGCCTGATCTTTCTCTGTATTTCTTATCCTTCCTGTTTACAGCTGACCACTTACCAAGAAAT